TTCGGACGGAATGACGTCACGGATATGCGGCCTGGCCTTCAAGATCCTTTCAAAATGGCGGCTCCCGGTGTCGAACTTTTCACTTCTTTTTCATTGGGTTCGCATCCACTTCAGAAGCTAAAATAACGGTGAATAACTCAACTCAATGTGAACTTTTTATTGGTGATGGAAAAAAATACACGGTTTTTGGAGTGACCTACTCCTTTAAAGGAGCCTACTGAAACGGACGCTTTGTTCTGCTATGCAGTGTTTCCGTACACTGCACGTTTATGTATTTACTACTGGAGTCTGTTACATAGATCAGTAAACCAGGACAAGTTGTTTCGAATAATGAGTAGTTTCCACACAAATGTTAGTTGTGAGGCCAATGAATGTTTTCGGTAATTTATTGGTTCTGAGCACGTGGACAGCAAGTGCCATACACGTGTGTGGGACGTTTTCAATCTGATATATTGACTACATTATCCCGATATAATTATCCACATGATCAATTTTGACCAATGGCGAGGCAGAACAATTGTTAGTTGAATGTAACGGATGGCCAGTATGTATATGTAAGCACTGACCAACGTAATGTATTTTGTTTTTAGTTTGGTGTCGGAATTTTAAGCATACTACTAGGAAGAGCAGCTGCCATATCAAACGGTTTAACTGAATCAGATGATGACATACGGAAATCATGGTAAAAGACTGTTTTTCTTTTTTCTGCTGGTAATAACTTCTTTGTTATTTCTTTATTTCTTGACAACTTTGCGACGTAAACTTTTTGACAAATAAAGGACTCGGGAAACAGCAATTGAAACTTTGTGTTCACTACTGGCTAACACCTCTTCCCTCCAAGGTAATGGTAAACGTAAAGAACAGCCCCCTCCCTCCCCCCTCCCCCCGCCCCTTCTCCCCAATCCTGAAACATTGTCGTTATTTTGCGAGGTACTTCGCGTTATACAGTTACTGGACATTATTTAAAGAATGGATTTGAAGTCATGTGGAGTCGTTTGTAGTAGTAGACGACGTACAACTGTGTGCAGTTATGGTCGATCGATCGATTGATTGAGAGTGAATATATGAAAAACCATATCTGTGAACTGCTGAGAAAGATGTAAAGACATGATTGATCATTGCAGTTGTGTACACAAGTTAAGCAGTTGTGAAATTAAACCCTGGAAAAAATGCATGCTTGAACGGGATTCGAACCCATGACCCCTGATTGATTGCTTGATTGCCAAGGCGAAGCTGTTACTCACAAATGCCTTAATGAGTATAACAACTGAGTTTTATTATTTGTTGAGACAAGTACTTATTGCACTTGAATTTGCTTATTTTGAAGGTTGAACATCGTGTCTCAAGTGGCAAGTGAGTTCCAAGATGTTCCTGTGAAACAATTGGGAAAAAACCTTGAAGCGGCAGACACATTAGTGGCTTTATTGTCCAGTTGCACTGATGTCCAAACCAAGGCATTACTACAAGAACACTTAAGGTCTGTTACTGCTCACGGCGGATTTTTAGATAAACCGAAAGTTCTCTCCGCTGGTCACGTAACTCCGTTTGCTCGATATATGAGGCCTCCATATCCTGTTAGAGAGAACCCCATTCGCTCTTCGCGTAATTGTTTTTACTCATGTGGAGAAAGTGTGATGAACGCAAGGGGAGCAGGGATGGCGTAGCTCGCATCCCACTAATGTGGAGGCCTGGGTTCGAAACCTTGACCCGGGGTCATAAATGGGTTGAGTTTCTTGTTTGGTTCTCGCCTTACTCCGAGGGTTTTTCTCCAAGTTCTCCATTTTTCTCCCTCCACAAGATCCAACACTTTCAACTTTTAGTTCGATCTGGATATAGTGGACGAAGAACCTCCAGGGACTTTAAGATACGTTACGGCGAGGTGCTACTACGGCTACTTTGGCCGTGAGGGACTAGGCTGACAACGTTGTTTTACCCGCCAGACTCAAATGATTAAGATTTTGCTGTACGGCAATGGTATGTGCAGTCTCTGTGTGTCTTCACAAAAATGACAACTTTCAAGGAAACCAGAGATTATTCTACTTTCATACGAAATAGGCTTGATTAATGACAATGATACCCTTCTCCTGTATCCGTCTTACATTTCCCAGAACTCAGATTTGCCTTTTAGAACTTGATAGAACCGCCTGTAATTCCAACCACAAAACAAAATATAAACTATGATATAAAAAAGCTCGATTTCAACACGGACAGGTTGTTCCTACAACGATTACGAAATAAGCCCGAAAATGCAAAACTTTCGATTATAATAAAATACATTTTGAACAGTAATAAACAATTATAGCTCAGCTTAGACCATGCGAAGCTTTCTTATCTACGGCTGTTCGGCCCGATACTAATATGACTGAATTGATCATCTCGCGGTAGGTGTTAAAATCGTTCAAATTTTCTGTACAAATAACAAACAGTGATCTTAGAACTGATTTTTATGATTGAGAACTTTATCTTCAAACAGGGCTGTTCAAACAATGCAAAAAGCGTTAAAATGAGAAGTAGACAGCAGGCTTATACTCACGTAGTGAACAGTACATGGAACCAGGCACTTTCCCGTAGTAGAAAGCAAGGTTACGGCGGGAAAGCCGTACTGGTACGCGCGTCATGATGTCACCGGAAGCGATCTTCACAATCTGCCGCCGTACTACAGCCTAGCCGTACCATATCTTAAAGTCCCTATTTATCAACCAACAACGGTTTGTGATTCAAATTTTCTTGAGCCCTTTCAACCCTGTTGAAAATTCAAATTTCCTTTACCAGTTTCCATACGTTTTATTCAAGTCTGGATGTTTGTTATTGCACTTAAAGGCTACCTTTCCTTGATCATTGATTACGTGCGTGAGAGAAAGGTGTGGGAAATCGAACGTTCATTCCTAGACATTGTTCTGATTCTGCCATATAGACATGCTTTTGAAGGGGCGCATCATGTATTTTTAGCACAATCTCTTAAACAAACATAGATAGCAGCAAACCCAGCAGTGAATGTTTGATTTTGTAGAGCAGTACTCAACAAATATGAGTTGCTCGTTAGTAGGTGACAATTCCTAACAATTGGAAGATCTAGCCTGCGAGTTGGGTCTCGTGTTTTGGCGCGCGCGTAGCGGTGAAGGTCCGAGAGACAGACATAACTCGCTCGTACGCAAAAGAGAAAAGCCGGAAACCAGCGCATAAGTGCGAAACCCAGACACTAGAGCCTGCTGGCAGGCTTATGAAGACCCTGGCGGAAGAACGGTTCGGATTCCTTTGAAGCTTTAAAAACTCTTGCTGTGGGATTTTTCTCAACACTAAAGAAGAGAATACTGAGATCTGTCTCTAATCTAATTCTAATAGTCTTGTTATTTGTTGTTGCTTTAGGTTGGCTGCTTCTGCCAAGTCAGAGATCACCGCGTAGAACACAAGCCAGATTTTCATCTGCAGGCTATCAACCGAAGTAGATCTAATACATTAATTATAATAAATTGAGAAATGAGTAATCACGCAATTGAAAAATTGTGCGAAGAAATTACTCTTTGTGACAGATGCTTGTTTTTTGTTTGTTTGTTTGTTTTTTTGCACTTTCTGGTAGGTTCTTTTGCTAAGTTAAATGGTGTAAACACAACCCAGTTTGTCACTGTTAGAACCTATGCAACTCACTTCAGGGTGTTAACATGTATTATACTAATGCTATAATTACTAAGCAGTACAGTTTATGAGGAGAGAATATGGCAATCAAATATAAAGTTTTATACATCAACAAATTAAAGAGTTGCTCATTTTTGTGGCGACCAGACGAATCACTGTTGCCGTGTACAGATTTCAAGCACTTTTGTATTAATTATATGCCTAATTCTGCTCTCCGCATTACAATCGGTATGCAGTTTGATGTACAGAGTTTCTCAAGTTCAAACACGAACGAAGCTTTGGAGACTTTTGGTAACAATCATATTGAAGAAATTAGACGTATGAGAAGTTGTGCCTACAAACAAATTTCTTTTATTTTGTGCTGACTTCTTGAGTTTAGCCCAGTCGGTGTAAAGTATGATGTACTATTGTTTAAATCATCAAACGTTTCTAGTTCAACTTGCAGTAATTATTTTGCATAGTTATGCAATAGGAAGACTAAGGAAACAATTTTGCAAAATGAAAAATACTGAGCAGTGATTCTTCACTTTACTGCTCTTTGTCTTTTTCGACAAATTCAACGATGCAAATAAGATTGAGCAAGCTGACTATGTCAGGAAGGATGGCTCATGATGTAAACTATAATTTATTTTCCCAAGAAGACCGAGACAATGCTAGTTTAAGTTGCTGACCTACGTTTTGATATTTTCTCTATTACCAGATATGTTGTTGTTCAGTACAGGGATGCAGGAGAGGCTTTTATAGAGTTGCAATGGTCTGTACTTTCAATACAAAATTACAATTTTTGGTGGCAAGTCGCGGTACTTTATTTCCATGAAAAATAAGCCTGGAAAAAGGCTAGGTTTTCCACTGATTCTCCATAACAAACGTCAATTAGCGAGAGCCAAACCTTTGTAGCAATTAACAGAAAACACTTAAACCTCTTCAAAAGAATCTATTTTTGAACAACTCGTATATATGTGTCATCATCAATTGCCTTTTTGGTTATTCGGCCGTTTATGAGTCTAGCTTCCAACTTGGGGCGAGGTTGTTCGAAAGCCGGTTAGCGCTAACCCAGGATTAAAAGTAGACCGAAGAATTAATTTCTCTGGTACAAAAAAGTTTTTCACTGCTTATGTTTGTGTAGTTTGAGATCACTCAAGATTTGAAACTGAAAGACAAACAGTATATACAGAAAACTTCATCGAAAAGTTAAGAAACTCAAACCAAAATTCTCGCTAATCCTGGGTTAGCTTAATCGGGCTTTGACCAACTCGGCCCTGAGTTACATGCTGCTCTTGAGTCGCATTGACCTTGAAGTCACCAACTTGGTCCGTTGGTGAAGATTGTTCCCACTCGAATTATTTATTGCGTGTACCTTGTCTTGTGCCAAGTGATTTGTTGTAAGTAGCTAGAGCCTTGTGAGGTAACAGTTGTGAATTATCGTAGGAATAGCGTTTATCGCAAACAGATTTTTTTGAGTGAGATGTGTGAATTCTTTGCGCTTGTTCGATCATTGTAAGCACCACAAAGAGCATTACATGTAATACTGAATTGCTAGAGCCAGGTTATTGACTTTGAAATAATACTTTGATATTGAGAGCAAATAAAAATAATGAACTGATGAGGAGTAAATCTTCTTGTGTGTTGCTACATTCCCTGCCAATCCTATTACTCAACGGAGCAGACTTAGAACATCATCGACCAACAAATACTTCTCACTTGACTCTGAAGATAACAACAAGAAATAGGGCGTATTTAAAACACCAAATGACGAAATGGCAAAATGGTACTAAAGATAAGAGCCAAAATTATAACATATTTCCGTTCCAGTGAAATCTCCATCTGTTGCCGAAATTATTCTCTAGATTAATCCCGACAAATAAAAGAAACATCTACAATCACAAATTCGCCGTCACGGACCTTTCGGTAATTTGATTGGATTCCAGTCTCTCTGTTAACAGGGCGCGGTTTGAGACGCCAAGGATACACGACGAGATTCATGAGGTTCTGAAATGGCTGCCCCTACTGACTGCGCTAGTGAATAGCGAAAAGTCAGGAGGGGGTCTAGTTTTAATCCAAGCCAACTTAACCGCGGTGTAAAAATCATTTGATGCTTCTTGACAAGAAACGTGTTAACAACGGCATCTACCTGTCAACGGAATCACTCCGAAAACAAAATCAAGGTGTAATTTAAAACCTCTCAGTTCTCTGGAAATATTTATAGCGCTAATCCACTGCACTTAGACTTGCATATAAAGCAATGGCACTCGCGAGAGCTTTTTCACTGTCAAAACGGGAAATCAGCAGAAACAGTCGGGTTTTTCGCTTTCAACTGAGCCGTGTTGTTTTTTTAACCGTAAAATTGTTCACTCGGAAATGTTTCCGCCTAAGAAAAGCCTAAGAAAGCGGGGAAAACACTGCTACGGTTCAGTCCCACGAAACACGAAAGTAGTAATATGGTAAACACTTTTTTTTCTTATTTTCAGTCCTTTGTTCTCAACCGCTGATAACTTGAGTTACTCCCAATAAATCGAATCTTTTTCAATTTTCCTTGAAGGTTCGAGATATCGAGAGCCGACTGTGCATCGCCTGAGGGACCACTAGTTCTTCTTATAAAAATGATTAAAACTTAGTATTAGTCATTTTGAAATACTGTTTTACTTAAGGTTAATGAATACCTTCAGGGGTGCCCTCCGGAAAATGCTTTCTTTACGCGCTGCTTTAATTAAAGGAAACCACTTTAAACTATATACCATTGTAAAGCTAATAAACTGTAGAATCCGAAGATAACAATATATTGCTATGTTTGCTTTGATAGGCACGCGCAAGCCTAAAACCGCGAAACTGACCATACTTGCTAAACTGAATTACCAGCCTTTGTGTTACCGCGGACATCCAAACTGACTGTACATTATCAATCATGAGATGATGGGCTAACAAATTGTGTGAGGCTTTTGGATATTTCTATTGGTTGCTTAGAAAATCCCTTTCAAAGTTGGACAATAGAAGATTTTCTGACTGCTATTACTCAATGGGACGTCAGAGAAAAAATTTCCGATTTTCGCAAAAGCCTCGCACCCTTTGGTGCGCTAATATCTGACGAACATTTTGGCCAAGTTTCGTTAAAATCCGATAAATCTACATACCCTATTAATTCATTTGAATAGTGGTAATTTACGCAAAAATAAGCCTTGAGTTTTCGACCTCGAAAGAAATTCACAGTTTTCGCACCTCACTGAAGCGGTTGTCAACGTGGCCATGCCGCCAACCAATGAAACGCCGCCTTGAATTCCTCAGCTAGCTACAGTATGAATGAATGAATGTGCAGTGTTTATATTTACAGTATATCTCTAGATCATACATCGGGTGTAGCGAAGTCTGCCGTGAAACATTCAGCAGCTTACAAACCGAATCAGCAGATAAATGGTCAAGAAAGAAAAGGGAAAAAAGAGGAATGATAGCGGAATAGCATTGAACAGGCCTACTCGGCGTGCCGAATCGAGTGCGGATATTTACACATTTTGAAAAAAACTAAACGCGTATTTATCTGCCTGTTTGTTTTACTTAAGCAATAGTACACTTTTTCCGTGTTTACATAACCTCATCTAAACACGAGGAGGGTTCGGAAAATTCGAGACAGTTATGCAACCCCGAGACGTATTATAAAATTTTATAAAATAATTCTCAAAAATACGCGCGAATCTAAAACGTCACAACCGTGTTTACACACTCTCACCTTAACACACCTATCGACCAATGAGAGCGCGCTTAGTAGCTCAGTTATTTTATAATAGAATATGGGAAAACACTCGAAGCAGAGGTAAGGAGCGTTTGGGGAAGCTGCCTTGTCATATATCAGCGATAAAATTCGTCGGTAATTCCGCGGCAATCAACTTCTGTGTCAGGAGAAGCTAGAGCAGGGCATCGATGAAACATTCGCTTGCGATTTGTGCTTGCGCACGCGAAGACCGTGCAAAATCGCCTAGTCTATCACTTAAGAGACGAAAACTATCAACAAAAGCGAAAATTTCTGTGCGAGAAATTGCAAGACGTAAGGGATAAACAAAAGAAGCGAAATACGACTCCGCGGATGAGATTAGTTGCCGCGAAAATTGTTCCTGCTCAATTCAAGGGTTGACATATTTTAATTGGCTTATGACAGTTTGCTGTTCATTGACTCGTTTTAATGTATAGATTTAGGCCAGCCTAAAAGCGGAGCTCCTGCGCCGGGTTGTTCAGAGCCCGATTAAGCTAACAGAAAAACGTAGAATTTGGATTTGAGTTTTGTAACTTTGCGGTGAGGTTTTCTGTATGTTGATCGGCCTTCTGCTTTGAGTTTTAATAACCACCATATACACAAAACAAAGCAGCAAAAAACATTTGTCAGTAGAAGAAAAGGTTATAATTCAGTTTACTTTTAATCCTGGGTTAGCCTTAACCGGCTTCCGAACAATCCTGCCCTGGCTCCTGCCCTGTTTTCAACAAGTTAACCTGACATGAGCCCGCGATCCTACCGAAAACCAGCACTTGGTCAGCGGTCAACTTAAAATAACACGTGACTTCAATGATCTATAAACCTGAGCCCGCGATATGGTCACATGATACTGGTCAGAGGATACCTTGTTTTGACAGGTGTCAATTTATAATAACATGGATGTCCAATATCAAAGTACACGGTAAACCAAGGCTGCATGTCTCTGTCAACCTTTTATTTAGAGTATGGCCACCATATTGCGCGACTCCGTCGTCGCGCGTACGCGCCCACGAGCAATACCGCTAGCCATGATAACCATGAAAAAATCAACTCATGGGTTTCCGTTTCTTTCCTATATGTGTATAGGGCTCCGTTTGGCGGCCCTTCGGGCCGCCGGAGCTCCCCTAAAAATTACGTTTTGGGGGATAAATCGGTTGCGTTTTAAGTTTTTCAAAATAACTATTTTGGAAAGTTCAGAAAAGGTAGAAGTCTTGAATTTGGTGTAAAGAAATAATTTGTACCAAATAGGTCCTTGAAGGTCTTCAGTAACCTTACCCATTTTTAACCTTAGTTAGTAGCAGTATTTTTACTCCTAGCGCTAGTCTTAAACCTTAGTTTTAGTCTCAACGTTTTTAGTTTTGATTACTTCTGTATTTTAGACATTTAATGTATATTTTAGACTTATTTTTTTAGAGACCCTCCTGAAAACCACCTCTAGGTGGTTGGTTGCCTCCTCTTAAAATATCAATTTATCATTATTATTATTACATTATTAGTTTTTCGTGTGCAATTGTTTTCAATAAACCCTGACTACTCAAACCTAATATAAATTAATCATGTCATTTTGAGCAGAGAATATTTTTCTTGAGTATTGTGCCAAGGTCCATGGGAACACCAGTTTCAAAATATCATGAACAGGATCCTCAAACTACAAAGTCAAAATGTAAATGCATAAGTCATAAATACATAAACAAGTAATGGCAAGTTGGATATTCAATCGACCCCGATAACTCGAACCCCCGCTAACTCGAACTGTTTTTCGTTTCCCTTCAGAGTTCGAGTTACTGGGGTTCTACAGTAATTATTTGTGTCCAAGAAACAACCATTCTCCCAAGTGTGTTCCTTTTTTCCAAGTGTGACCCATTTGTTTTCAGAGTGTAACCCATTTTTACAGGTTTGACTTTTTTGCAAGTGTGATCCATTTTTCCCAGAGTGACCTCCGTTTTCCATAAAAGACCCATTTTTCCGAGTAAGACCCATTTTTACAACTGTGGCCCTTTTTTGGAAGTGCGACCCATTTTTCCAAGTGTTCTGGCCCCTTTGTCCAAGTGTCACCTATTTTTTTAAGTGTGAGCATCCTTTTCAATAAATGACCCCCTTTTACCATAAATGACCCATTTTTATACGTTTGACCCTTTTTTCCAAGTGTGACCCATTTTCCCAAAGGTAATCCTATTTTCCAAGTGTAGCCCCCTTTTTTCCAATAGTGACCCAGTCTTCTACACATTTTTCAAAGTGTGACTCATTTTTCCAAGTGTAACCCATTTTTCCAAGTGTGACCCATTTTTCCAAACGTGACCCATTTTTCTAAATGTGACCCACTTTTCCAAGTGTGACACATTTTTTAAGTGTGACCCACTCTTCTAAGTGAGACATTTTTCCAAGTGTGACTCATTTTTCCAAGTGTGACCCATTTTGCCAAGTGCAATCCATTTTTTCAAGTGTTTCCCATTTTTCCAAGTGTCTCCCATTGTTCTAAGTGTGACCCATTTTTTTAAACGTGACCCATTTTTTAAAGGTGACTTTTTCTTCACCCATTTTTTTGAAGAGTGACCCATTTTTACAAGTGTGACCCTTTCTTCCAAGTTTCACCCTTTTTTCCATTGTGACGTTTTTCCAAATGTGACCCAT